AATATGGGCAAAGTCACTTACAGATCTATATAAAATTTCAGGCTTAAACTAAAAAAAAACTTTTGTTAGAAAATACTTCAGGAATAAAAAAAACAGTGTTTAAAGAATTTTTTTTCTCTACGTATGTATTAAAAGTCATCTTCCAGATTTTAAACTAATTATAGATCTATCGTTCAGGTACTAAAGAATTAAAAAAACTTATGAAATACTTTGACTGAACTTCATGATTATATTTTGTATTCTATTAATTTAGTTAAGAGAACGTATTACCATTAAAGTATTATAATTTATTAAGAAATTGTCTATGCTAATGTGCCTTTTTAATCTTTCGTAAAAATCTTCATACCATCAACAATATGGTCTCCCTACTCGGGCCTAATGTCGGCCGGTATTGGATCCTCGTTTGGCGCGGAGGTCGTGTAATAAATCGAGCTGGTACATGCACTGTGACGTGTGATCCATTCCAAAATGCCCTTGTACTGAAGCCCAGCTAATACTTCCTATTTTTAGAAATTTTAATCTCCTCAGGATCATGTGGAGGCTTCATCTTCTTTCGCTGTACCAACCTACATATATTTTTTATGGAACGTATTCTATCGGAATTATGAGGGCTTTATGATTATTATGAGGCAAATTATAATATGCTTCTAAAAATGTGTATATGTCATGATTATATATGTAATAACAATAATGTTAAGATGCCTGCTCCTCATGCATGAGGGTGCGGGTTCGAAACCTGGTAAGTGCCAATGTGACTTTTATGAGCTAGGTATATGTACTTACTTTCTATAATAATTGAGAAACTGCTGACATAAGGTGAAGGAAACGTCGTCAGGAAATATGGCCTAATAATTTCTAATTATAAGTTTGAAATCGCCAAACCGCCTTGAGCAAGCGTGGTGATTAATGCTCAAACCTGCTCCGTGTGAGAAGGCGCCCTTGCTCAGCAGTGGGCACTTATAGGCTGATGATGGTGATGATGATGATGATGAATCCAAACGTACTATTACAGTATATATTTTGACAATATTTTTATACTAGTTTATATCTAAGATAGTTGTCATAAAAACAAGGCTAAAAAACAACCAATACTTTTATTTGGATGAATCATTTTGTAGAGTAAAAGTCTAAAAATAGGTATGTAGCTCCTAAATTATCACAATAGTCTCCACAGCAGATCGTAATCAATATATTGGACGTTCGCGCGACGGGGAACAAAAACGGCTGCGTACTGCCAAACCCCCGTACGACAAGATTCTGTAACTTGAATCACTTTGATAATGTAATTACGAGTTTTGCAAACTTCCTAAGTGTCGGCTGAGAGTGCGACGAACTCTCCAACTTTGTCGTATTACCTTATTTGTTTACGTTTTTTGTTTGAATTTAATGTTTCTTGTTTGTTTTTCGGACATAAACATTGTTTTTCATTTTGTCATTTCTAATTTTAACATTTTACTATTTCATTCATCATCGAAATAGTCAAACTTTAAATAAACCATTGATTGTCTTCGTAAGTAAGCTAGATTTTAGTTTATTTAGTAGTCAGTAGTTTATTTACTTAGTGAGGTTAAATTCGATCAATTAATTTGCCATTAATGCTATAATGAATAACAAATACGTCCTCTGAACTGGTCCAAACTGCTTATTTGAAATTAATTTATGGTATATGAAAATAGATTTCCATGTAAAATGTATAAGTCTATATTTAGATAAATATAGGTAAATAAAATTTGCTTTATAATTAAGTGAGTGAATAAAAAGATCTGTTTATTATATTTAATGTAAAATATAGAGTCAAGCGTTGCGTGCATAGACCAACTACTTTTGACAAATTCTCTTCATGTTTTCATCTTCTTTTGTAGTTATAATAAAATCAGCTGTTATTATAAATAGATGAAAGGAACGATTTCGCGATTAAAATTCGCGGCATCAATTGTCATGTTTATGAACTTTTTTTTTGTGTCGGTTTGGAAAATCCTCATGGAGACCCACCGCCCTCGGGTAAGGGCGAAGGGTACTGTCAGACCCTTACTGACTAAAAACCAACCCGGTGTTCCTCCAATAACCCATGTGTCGGAGGGGCGGGTATCGCCGAAGCACTCGTCGCAACCCCCCGACGGGATGTTTATGAACCCCTAAAGTGACTTGAAACAAGTCGAGTTTACCGTCAAACCGTTACGTGGGTATTCCGTTAAAAATGAATGTTTTATGTTTATATTATTATACAAATCATTTTATATTCGGTAGTTTGGCGAACGAGCGGACGGATTATCTGATGATGAGCAATCATGGACACCCGTAACAATATAGAAGTTACGAGGGTGTTGCCAATCTTTTGGGGATTGGAGATTTGGAGAGTTAGGGATTGGGGGAGGGGAAGGATTGAGTTCTGGCAACCTCACTCATACGGCGAAACAAAATAATAATAATTATTAAAATTAATCTAACCTCAGTTCGAGTTCGAGTAACAATGATAGAGAACTTGTGTTGGAGCCAAGTAATTAATTATAAGCAGCTAATTGATCAGCATGCGGCCTTGACATGGAAAGGATAGTGTCTCTCCACAAAAACGCTCAGCACACAGATTCCCCCAAGTTCCCAAGGGCAACTAGCATTTGAAATTAGTTTCCCTATTCCCAACTGAGATTAAAACACGTGGTGTGTGTATTCAGACTTAACATAGTAGGAATGAAGTAAAAAAAAATATAATTTATTAAGAGATTTTATTGAATTTAAAATGCGAGTACCAGATACATCTTTAGACAGTCTAATTTACATTTATAATTCGATAAAAAAATAGATGTTGTTTATTATCATTGATAAGTCAAGAACTTTCAATAATATAATTGCTATGTTTTTATAATAACTATCGTGAGACATACTAAATTAACTAAAATTCGCGGGTTACTCACGTGTAAATGTTGAGAAAAGCTCTACTAGTTTCGAACCACAGAGGGGTTCTTCCTCATGAGCAGCGTGCGCGGACGCGGCGACGTCGCGCAGCCTACCTCTGTGGTTCGAAACTAGTAGAGCTTTTCTCAACATTTACACGTGAGTAACCCGCGAATTTTAGTTAATTTAATTTAATTGCTGTTGCAAATGATAAATTACATTGTAATCATAACATTATAATTGCAATCGATTTTTCAGTCAACAACATAAAATAAACAAAATATTTATATTATTTTTGTGACGTAAATGTGCTAAAGCAATTTATTAAATACACATTACAATAAAACATTGATACCAATAAATTAATGTCACTGGCAAAATATTCATGTGACGTATAAATTAAAGTAAGTATTGTTTTTTTCTCATAGCAGAGCCATCGTTGAACATCAGCCCTATTGGGTCCTATTTGTGGTGGTCTATTGGTTCTTGAAGCACGCGCAGAAACTGCGCCGTACGCTCGGGTCTAGATCTGCTCTAACTAAAGATACATTTTAAGGAAATCTTACAATCGACTTGTAAGATTTCCTTAAAAATTACTACTAATCTATAAGGAGGCCCTGATTTTATGTCTGGATATGCGCTGTGATACAGACATATAGAACTTCATTAGGCACATATGTTTATCAAGAACTTACCTATATGAAAATGGTGATACATTACGTTATTTGCTAAAGATGATCTATTTCAAAAGCTGTTGATTAAAATTGGTTTTGACATTACGAGTATTTGCATGAAGTTTTTGCCAAAAATAGAAACGAAACAGAAACTTTGAAATAAGCAAATAAGTTATATTATTTGGTCAAATACTGACAGTGAAGCAGTCTTTTAACACAAATAGAAACAACAAAGTTTGAAATGTACAATAATACATAATATATCATAAATAAATCTAAGCAGATGAGTTATGTTCACTATTAAGTCCTATTAATACCTACCCAAGTCCATGAATGATTCAAACCAAGATAATTTTCATTCACTATTGACGTCATTGGAACATGACAATTTGTTTAAATATAAGTTGTTTATTTATGTCATTACGTTTAGTTATTTTGTTGGGTTAATATTTTGAGATTGATACTTTGTAGAACCTTAGTTTTTGCGCCAAACTAATTTAGTTCTTTAACGCTACTTTCACTTTCTATATAACGTTTTCTGAAGGGGAAAATCATCTCATACCGAGACGAAAATTTAGTTTTACAAACTATTAATATCTCGATTCCTTGTTCTGCTCCGATCCAGGTAGCGGTCGTTGCGCTTAACCTTTTAAATCTGGCTCAACATCAGCGCATGGGTTTCAATTAGAACTAATGAAAAACACCGCATATACATAAGTAAAAAAATCAGGAACAATAAAATAACAATAAAAACAAAATAAAACTTCGATCTTTTAATAAGTTGATACTTTAATACATTTAATTTAATAGGCGTTTTATACCTAATTAGGCTAAGAATAATTGAATCGTTAAGTCATTTAAATTCATGATTTCACGTGTTATTATTATTTGGTAACAATTTTAAAGTCGCCTGCTTTTTACTAGCATTAATACTATCGGAAATCTCTTGTAACGTTTTATCTTTTGTCTCTGGTAAATGTTTGTACAAAATTATAATAATCACTAACGAGGACAAACCAAATGCAAGGAATGCTCCATGTAGTCCGAATCTTTTGAATAGTAAAGGCGATATTTTTAAAGCTAATCCTGTCACTAGTTTTCCAGCTAAAGCAACTAAACATACTGACAAATTTCTCGATCTAACTGGAATCAATTCCCCATACACTGATACAGACATAATCATAGGACCACAACTTACAGCTATTGAGAAAGCAACAAGTAAGGACACTGATACATATTTATTTTCCGAAATAACGTTTAAAGAAATTAAATATAGGTACAGGGATAAAGTGAAAAGAAATACTACTCCTATACTAGAAGCTACTAATAACAACGTACGTCGTTTTAAACGTTTCATTAAAAAGCAACCACCATACATACTAAACACTGTGAAACCATCTAGAACTAACATGGCGGTATACGCAGTCGACTCACTGTTTGTAATTTTCTTCAAAATATCTATAGCGTACACAGCAAACACCAATTTCCCACTGAAAACTCCTAAACAACCAGTTACAGTAGATAGAAACGTTGGTTTATAAAATTCCTTAGATTTTAATGTTTTAAAGAAGTCAATGATACTTTCTTTAGTGGTCATGTAATTAGTTCCACAACTAGCTATGTATTCTTTTTGGGAATTTATAAGCATTTGTAATTCTTTCTCGGATTCTTCATCACAACCTTTTAAAGATCGGTGTGAAATTGCACATTCTTTGAACCGTCCTTTGCTAGCCAACCAGTATGGAGACTCTGGCCAGATCATAACGGTCAATATAGTGTACAAGGAACATGCTATTCCAAACAAAGGAATTTTCCTCCAATGGAAGAAGGTGCCAATTGCATTTGAGGCCCAAATACCCCAGTAAAAGGTAGCTGTTTTAACAGTTAGAAATATACCCCTGTATTTTGGTGAAGTATACTCTGTGAGAATCATGAGTGTGATGACGATTTGTGACGCACTAAACAATCCTTGCATGATTTCACTGATTAGTATGTGTGTGATACTTGTGCTGCAGTACAGGACGGTGAAGGCAGCCAGTGTATCGAGGACTGCGATCAGGAAGGGTATCCTCCTGCCGACGAACTTGGTGAGTATCGAGAGCATGAAGACAAACGGGAAGCCGCTGAAGCCGTACACGGACGCTGGAAAATTTCATTTTATAAATAAGTTTCCAATGAAATTATAAAGTTACAATGAGGGATCGGACGATGAATGTCAATGTTCTACCGCAATTTACATGCAGGTCATGCTTGAAATCGATAAAGTTATTAATCGCTTGGGCGTAGATTATAAAGCGATATACAATAAGTTTGGCAGATTGATGTATAAAATTGGTTAGTTATATATTTTTTTTATGTAATTGATCGGCAAACGAACAGTAGGATTACCTGATGATAAGCAATCAGCGCCGCCCATGGGCACACACAACGGAGGAGGTACGTTGCCGACCTTTTAGGGACTAGGAATTGAGGAGGCATTGGGGGAGGGGAGAGATTGGGTCTCCGGTAACCGTCCGGTCCGGTCACTCACACGGCGAACAACGCTGTGGTTGTTTCACGCCGGTTTCCTGTGAGGCCGTGGTATCACTCCGGTCGAGCCGACCCATTCGTGACGAAGCATGGCTCTCCCATAAATTAAATAAATACAGGTACAAATGATATCATACTTAGCCAAGAAGCCATGTCGTCTGTGATAATGTCAGTACTGTTAGCCTCCCTCCTAATCTGGGGGATGAACATTGTTGGAGCACCAACGCACAATCCGTACAGGAACATTGATGTCCATACTCCACTGCAAATCAGCAACTAAAAACAAACACGTTACATTATACTGACATAAGCTACTATTCGTCAACTTTGGTTCAGCTAAGTATCCAGTTCTGGTAGGAATTTTGGGCGGATATTGTTCATAAAATAAAATAGTAGAATAATTGAAAATAATTATTTGTTTGTTTATGCACAGCAACGACTACTTGTATGTGTTAGCTATTATTATTATTAATGAATAATGACTCTGTGATAGGTTAATTATCTGGGAAGTTATTATATTTTATTATAACAGTTAATCGGAGTAATAGATGGCCAGTGTTTAGTATTCATCAACACTTATGATACTATGGATATCGTGGAGGCCTAAATGGCCTAAGGCTTCGGCCCTAAGCCGAAATCTATCGAATACACAAGCAACTAAACCTTTGCGAATTTATTTAGACACCATTCTATCACGATTAAGGTAAACACCATGGAGGACACTTGGACTAATCATTTTAATTATAATATAAGTTCGAAATTGCCAACCCGATATTGACTAGCAGGGTAGTTAATGCTAAATAACTACCTCACTATCGTCTTTAATGCTACATAAAAACTTTCTCCAAATGAGAAGAAGCTTTTTCTCAGAAGTTACAAAGTTTAAAATTTCCTTGTACATTTTACCTTGATCTTAAAAGAATTTAATAAAACCTATTATTCTTATAGGTACTACATAATAACGCTTGTGCAAAAGTAATTCTGTCACAGGTTTTTTAAATTTTGTGGTGGTGCCTTGATATTTTTCGGAAACTTACTGAAAATACCTGGTGCCATACAAAAAAAGAAAATATGCTATTTGTTTTAGTTAAATATTGCATTAATATTGGCATGCATTATTTTAATTTAAGACTGCATTATTCGACAGTTGCATAACCGAATCCCAAAAACCGAACAAGTAGTTATACAAACATTATATTATTATATATGTATATTTCACAAACATACCTATATCATTATATGTCATACGCACAATGTCATATAAATGTAAGTTTAATATAATATGTATGAATGTCAATAATTATGTACCTAGCTTAAGGTATAAAAAACAAAGAATCTTGTTTATAGTGCACAGGTATAATTAATCAGGATAATACACGAGACCTTTGATTTTAAAGTCAGATTTAATTTATTGCAGGCAACTTTAAATAAAGAGACAATAACATATTTATGAATTTTGTTTTTTTGGCAAATTGGCGCGACACTAATAATAATTATATTCTAAAAAAACTAACACTTGATTACTTTGCATGCATCCATTTTTTAAATAAATATCCAGTCGTGCCCTAAGAAGGTCACCACATAATACATTGTTGTAGGTTGTTTGATGTGTGAAACGATAAAGACTGAACATTAGAAATAAATACGGCTTGACAGCGAGCGAATGTATGCTAAGCGTGTGCAGATTACAATTACATTTTTCAAATGTTGATACTAACATTTTCTGTTTTGTTTCCTGCGACTACTTTTGCCTTTGGGAAAACTAACCACGAAATAAACGAAACCACCACTAATATCACGTATTTACTTTGGGACGAACATACCACAACCCTATGCTGCATACGCTACATTTTCGGAAATAAATTTAAAGTATATTTTGGTCATAAAAACAACTAAGTATGCAAATCTCAGTTCTTCCTATTTTGCTCAGATTACATTTTTCTTTTTATAAACAGTGAATCATACTGGTAATAGAATACATTAAAAATTTCGGATTAGGTACGGTCTAAGGTCAAAAGTGCAATTGCACTCTACCAATTTTAAAATGTTTAAAACTTCTTTGTAATACATTACAAGTTCAAGAATCTAAAAAACCTGTCATTAATTACTTTAGAATCTATGCTACAAATTAATCAGTCAAGGAACCTCTGACATTACCTTTGTAAACATGCAATTAATGTATTTGCAATCATGCGCTGAGAAGCACAATACAATAACAAAATATCATAATGTACAGTGAGGGTCAAAAGTGCAATTAAAGTATTATTATATTTTTAAAAGATCAATTAATTAAAGTAATTAAAAGATCAAACCACTAAGGGGCCAAAACCATGATGTTCTAGGCAATACAAAATAGGTCAACCACTGCCCAAAAAATATCAAAACGTCACCCTGGTTTCGCAATTTTCGTTTTTATTATTATACAGCTAAAAGAGATCTAAAGAATTCCAGATCGGTTTTTATTCGAGAAGCTTTTGCAAGTACGGGCGAGCCATTTTGTAACCTGCATGCAACAATGGTTTTCTTGTGCAGAGGTTATGCCAGAGACCTTTTTCTCACCATTCTTAACCGTAAATTCTCATAAAAAGGTGGCAATTCACTTGTAACTCCTTTAGCATTGCAGGAATGTATGGACGACGCCTATTACTTACAGGACCTTACTTGTAATTCATTTTGCTGACCTATTGTTTGAAATAGAGTAAAACGCACCTGTTTCAAAAATGGTTTCCATTTAATAGTATTGTTTAACACATCACTATCACTATTTACTGGTGCTGCTTCATAATTGCACTTTTCCATAATTATTTTTTTTATTAAAAATACTAATAAAATTTTATAATTTACACTCGATGTTATAAGATATTTTCATCACTATTTTCTTTGTAATAAGGTATAATATTATGAAGTGCGATCGACTCAGGCGCACGGCTTACTGTGTCGCCCCGTGTGTCCTCGCCCAGCGCTTATTCCGCGAATATTTACCTGACAGCTACCTTAACTTTGCTGCCGTATGTGTCATTTGTAGGGTACCGTACTTAGAGAAACATTGTTAATATTAAAGTGAAGCTAAAATTCAGATTTTTTCATATTTTTTTAAGAAGATAATAATAACGTAACTGATGTGAAAGGGCCATGATTTGGGACGAATAGGTGAGCTCAATCAGAGTCATACACGGCCCTACAGCAAAACGGCGTGAAACAACCACAGCTTTGTGTGTCGCCTTGTGAGTGAGATTACCAGATACCCAATACTTCCCCGGGATTGAGGATAAGTAAAGGGTTTATCCATCCTCAATCCCTAAATATGCGAATTCTTAATCCCAAAACGCACTCGCATTCTAGTGTTGCGGGTAACGATTGCTTACCATCAGGTAATCCGACTGTTCGTATACCTTTTTTTGACTTAAATGACTTCTCCCGCCTATAGTGTCAGATTCTTTGCTAACTAAACCCCTCTCCCCCCGTTCCTTCTATTGCTCTGGGCCGAGGCAGGATGCCTTATTGCGCTTGCCCCACAACTCCGGCTGTGCTCGTACCTATCCATCACATAAAGCAACTATGTTTTGTGCTCAGTTGCCCAACTTTTGCTGAATCCGTAATTATATTGGTGCGGGCACGTTGCCAACCTGTCTTATTTTGATATTGTTTTTAATTTATTTGTTTTGCCCTTTTTTTCGTTTGTTAGTATTACACACCTTTATTAGTTGGCATATAAATTGGATTTTACTGTTTTGATGTTTAATCAAATTATTCGTTGAAACTGATGCAAAATATTTTTTCAACTTTTCTGCAACTTGATTAATAAAATTAGATAATTATGTACGGAACCTTCAGTTGGTGACTGCAGCTCGTTTTAATTAGTTTGGTCGGTGCGTGAACGCAGCCAAAATAAATGTGGAGAGGGCGAACCGCGGGGAGGGTGAGGCGCGCAGGACGAAGACATTGACGTTTCAGCAAAGATGCTACATTTAGCAAAAATAATAAAATTATTCTATTACAACTACAACGTGTATCTAAGCCGTGATCATTTACATCATTTTCAAAAATATTTTTATTTACCTACATTAATTAAATGTTAGAACAATAGCCTAATTAATAACGTAGGTGAACATAAACTTTGACATTTAAAGAGTATAAAGAATACTAACTTTATTGTTTACACTGTATAACAATATTTTGTACACAGCCTCCGCCCAAAGTTGTTGTTTTTAAGTTGCGGCCATTAAAATTTAAGTGTAGGAGAGTGGGAAAGGGATGATACTACGGCCTCACAGAAACCTTTCGCGAAACAACCTTCCTTGAGACTTGGGGATGGGGCAAGAGCACCCCATCTTCCCCCATCCTAAATCTCTAATCCCAAACCACAAAAAGGTTTGCAATTCACGCAGTTATTAGCCCTCGGTGATGCAGGTAATCCATCCGTAGCATTTATTGCGAACAGTCATTTAAACCTACAATTTGTATAAAAATTACATAGGAGAATGGAAAACTTAGAGTTGAGTCGGTAACTGCCTGAAAATAAAAAAAAAGATTTCCATACGTACCTATTTCTATGTTCCAAAAATGGCTTATTTTCTATGTCGTGTATGACAATAACACTATCATTATTGTGTGTGTCGTGAACGATAAATTCGATAATAAATCACTGATCGTAAAAACATATGTGTAACGTAGGTATGCGATAAACAGGGACCCCCTAATGGTCTGAAAAGAATGAATGAAAGATCTCTATCCTTATTTCATTTAAATTTGCTACTAATCGGTGTCTAAAAATAAAAATACTCCTTATTCTTAAATATTATGTTTATGTAGAAATGTGATAAGGGCGTATTAAGTTGCAAGGTCGTATTAACGAGGCCTTATTATCCTGCGTATAAAGTTATTCATTTTGTGTACTAACAACTACAAACTACGAATAAAAAAACTCTGACACTGCATATAAGTGGAAAATATTGTTGCACGAATGATGTGAAAGTAATTATATAGTTTGTATAAGTAACTGCTTCAACTTAAAAGTTAATCGCTGTTTTAAAGTCCACACATTTCAATGCAAACCTTAATTTGTTTTCCTTCCAAC